TTCTTGTTTCTGTAGATTCACCTATTATAAATATTTTCTATAAATGGAGTCATACAAATTCTGTGTTTTTCTGAAAGCCTTCTGTCCTTTAACATGTTTTCAAGGTTTATCTGCATTACAGCATGTATTTCATTTTTAAAAAAAAATACTGAGTGATATTCCATTGTATGGATATATCACATTTTATTTAACTTTATTTGGAAATTTGAGTTATTTCCACTTATCTGTTGTGAATAATGCTATTATAAAGTCTTTAAGTACAGGGCCAGAGAGATATGCAATACATGTCTGAAGTCATGAATGACCTCAGTGATACTGAATGACTTCAGTCTGCTCTCTTTTTTTTATTGACTCTTTTTTTTTAACCTCTTGATTGTTGGGATTATGTTATTATTTCAAAAGATAGGCACTTATAGCTTGCAATTTTACATTTTTCTTCAAGTAGTGAATTAATTTTTAGAGGTTTGTATGTCTCTACTATATAACATGTGGCATGCTGTGTTATGGTCTGAATCTATATATTCCCCAAAAGACTCATGTGGTCATAGGTGAGGCTTTTTGGAGGTGGCTGGGAATGTGATGCTGGGATAAAGGGTGTGTGGTAACTCAATAAGTCCACTGATTTGTCTAGCATAATTCTAGGTATACAAAATAGCAAGGCCCACCCTAGGTATGGGTAGCACCACCCAAAAAATGCTGATAGCCTAGAAGAGATAAAAGGGAGGGGCAGGCTTGCAGGAGCAGCAGCTGCTCCTTGCTCCTTTCTGTCTTCTTCCTGTTTGCCATGTACAATTTCTCCACTGCAAAGCCCCCCTGCCATCTATGGTGCCTTGGAGGCAGCTAACTATGGACTGAAACTTCTACAAACTATAAACTGAAATAAACTTTTCTTGTTTAACTTGTGGGTACTGGATATTTTTATCACCAATGAGGAAAGTAATTTATACACTGTCCTAATCTGTCCATAGTCTTTGTCCCTTGTTTTCTTTGCCCAGATTATTCATTCATTATTTTCTTGGCTGGGCCATCTGGATAAATTTGAACCTAATCTCTGCTCATATCCCCTGGCTTCTAGTATGTTTTAATGCTTAGATTTTTTTTTTTTGAAGCTAGACTATGGAAGGATTGAGAAGTGCCAAACTGAGGCATTCTATGTAAAAGAGGGCATTAATTAAGGAGAAAGCCAAAATTAGAGGCTAATCCTGCTTTTCCATTTCATTTCTTCATAGGCCAGTAAAGAATATGGAGAACACCAGCATCATGGACTAAGCAAGGTACAGAACACGTGAGAGGTGCGGACTAGCACCTTAATCCATGGGGCTGTCATAATGAAGCACCACAGACCAGGTTGCATGTCACCAGCAGGCATTAATTGCATATGGATCTGGGAGCTGAGAAATCTGAGATCGGGGACAGGTGATTCAGTGCCATGGGAAAACTTGCTTTCAGCTTCACAGATGGTACATCCTCCCATGTCTTAACATAGTAGGGTGACTTGCTATCTCTCTGGGGACTCTATACGAGCACAGTCACAAGCCCGAGGGCTCTGCCTCTGTGACCCAATCACCTGGGATAAGGACCCCAGGTCCTAGCACATGGGTTGGGGTGGCAGTGGTGAGGATTTTTCATCACAGGAACATGGAAGGCCTGAGACATAAAGATGCAGTCCACATGGAGCACACGTCCAGGAAGCCAGCAGCACGCTCAGTGAGTACACTTAGTGTTAGGCTGTTCACGCACAAAGATAATTTAAAACATGGAACTAGGAAAGGCCTGCACAGTGGCCTAGTTGTACCAACAGGCCTGGGCTTCTAGAGTGGCTTTGGCTACAATTCTTTGGCTGCATCTTTGAGGGTATATGTTTACTTCTGCCAGTGAAACATGTTTGTCCTAGGTTTGAAAGAGAAAAAGAAGAGAAATATTTTTTTTCATGGACAGCTGGGAAGAGGTGCATGGCTTTTGTTTTTAATGTGCAGTGGGGCATTCTGCCAAGAAACATATTTTTCAGTTATGTGAAGCTGAGTCCATTGACAGCAGGTTGGATTTCTCTCTTCATTCTTTTGGATGTTCCAACATTTGTGTAAGTTAATTATTTACATTAAATCCTTACTGGCTAAGATGCCTAGGGGCTATTGGAAACAAAATATAATTGCCATGGGCTAAGTTGGGTCCCCTATGGAAACCCTAGTGCCCATCAACTCCGAAAGTGGCTATACTTAGAGACAGGTCATTTAGAAGTAGGATAAAATGAGGCCATAAGGGTGGGTTCTGATCCAGGGTGGCTTTATACGCAAAGCAAATTTGAACACATGACGCTCCAGGGTGTCTGTACACAGAGGAAGGACCAAAAAAGGACAAAGTGGGAAGTGAACCATCTATAAGATCAGCCAGAGAGAGGCCAAGAGGAAGCCAATCCCCCAGAACCTTGACCTTTTTGCTCATAGAACTGTGAGTACAGACTGTGGTATTTATGATGGCAACCTTAGGAAAAGAACACTGACCTAAATGAGAGCCAGGCTGGTGGAACTGTAGCCCTCCAAATAATCCCTCTGACTCTTTGGAATGCAGGGACAGTTCAGGTGGCTCTCTTAGGTTCACATATTTGTGAGATACTTCCCAGTAAGGAAATTGTCTTCTAGGGTGAACTTTCACAAAACTACCCAAGCAACACTGACACAACTAGTTCGATCCCAACCTAGTTCTTTCTCTAAATTCACATATGTAACATTCATTCATATTCCTTCAATGAAACATTTTAAGGACTTGCCAAGTAGACATTTCCATTGAGCAATTTTGTTGAACCTACTGAATTCCTACAAACATCACTATCAAACATCTCTGTCTCTTGTCCACAAGTGGTCCCCACTCTTTTGGACAGTAAGGACCAGTTTCATGGATGACCATCTCCCTTGGAAGGTGTGGGTATGCAGAGGAATGCTGGTGGCAGAATGAGTCAAAGGAACATGTTGCACAATTTAGATCAGTGGTGAGCCTCTGATAGGAGTGCTGTGGCAGGCACACGGAGGCCGCTCTGTTGGGACAAGCCAAGTTGCCTCAGCATCAACCCAGCAATGAGCACTGGATAACAGCACACATAGGGGCCATGTGCATGCTGGGAAAGCAGAAGACACTAAGCGGTGATGTCATAAGCAGTTTGGGTGCTCTGACTCTAAAAGGTTTGCCATCACAGATCTAGATCTTCAGTTTTGCTGATGATGATCTGACAGGAGGTGGAGCCGAGAAGGGGATGTGATCCTGGCCATAAAGCTTTGCTTGCTGGTCACTGCTTGCTTCTTGCCATGCAGCCCAGTTTCTGTAACACCTACAGCTATTCTTATGTAGGGTTTACACACCATGGAGCTAATGTAAAGTGAGAGAGTACTTTCATTTTTTCTAGAAACTTCAAGTAGAGCCAAACAGGAATGTTCTGATTTGTTTGCAGGAATCGGGAATTAAATTTTATTTTCTTTATCACATTTTAAAAAAAATATTAAAATGCTCTACAGTGAAATGAAGTTGTAGGGCATGATTACTGACACAGTTCAGTGTAAGAATTCAATCTTAGTTCTCATTACACGAGAAACCATAAACCATACTCAACTGAAAAAAGGAGAGTGGACTTTGAAGAGAAGTTGTAACTGCAGGTAACAACTTCCAATTTTTTCCCTTTATACATGATAAAGCAAGCAGATCTTTATTCCACAAGTCAAGAAAACGTGGATTTTGGTTTTTATTAAGTATATGTTGTGTTGTCTATATTGCTTACTCTTTGCCTGTCTACTCACCTGTATGCACTCTCCATACTGACATACATTGAATGACTCTACAAGTAGTCTAATTTCAGATTCAAGTCTGTGTCAATTATGTTTCTCTATATTTGCACCTTTTTCTGACTAATAAAGTGCCTCCTGAATTGAGCCATAATCTTTCTTTGGTATGGAGGGACCCTCTTCTCATTTCTAAATATACTTCTATGAAAGGATATATGAATCACTTAAGTTCATTTTTATTTTCTTTTTGTGGTACTGGAGATTGAACTCAGGACCCTGAGCTTGCCAGGCAAGCACTTATTCTACTGAGCCATCTCCCTGGGCTCACTTAAGTTCATTTTTTAATGTGGGGTTTGCACAAGAACAGACTTTAATATGAGAAGACAGTGTTTGTTCTTTGATTCTTTTATCTGTTTCCTCAAATTCCAGGCAAAGCAAGTCTTACGATCCCATTAGTAGAAAGCACAGTCCATTAAACAAACAAAAACATAGGGTGATTGTCACATACCACCACTTATGAAAATTAATTTTGACCTTTTCCCTTTGAAAAGTCAATCATAATAGATATTTTAATTTCAGAAGATCTTGCTAACCAACCAGACAGATAAAAACAGGTCTGTTTTTATCTAAATGTTATTTCTATAAGAAATAACATTTAAATAAAACCTGCTCAATTTTTAAACTGTTTCTGTTTACTGCAAAAAAAAATTATAGTGGCATTAAAGGAATTAAGAAAAACACTCATACAGATTTCAGTTTTGTATATTTCCTGTCTTTCTTTATATGTTTTAATACATTCATTTACTTTCCAGTTATCTGACTATAAAGAGAAAACAACTCTAGAGCTAAATTCTATCCCCACAAGTAAGAATTTTGTGACAGTCACGACGTAAAGACAAAGACCCAAAATAGTCTAGTCCTGTGGTCTTGTGGTGCTGCCAATGCCTGTTAACATGTACCCCAAGTCTCCAAATTCTTAATTTTTATTTATTAGTAATCGTAGAACTCAAAATACATCCTTGATTTCCTTTGCTGCATAAGAGAGGGCAGAGGCAGACTCTATCTACCCCAGTACCTACCACAGTGCTAGGATAGTTACTAAGTGAAAACAGAAAAGAAGGGGAACTGGTATCTTTCTGTTGGCTCCAAATCTGTCTCCCCTCTCTAACAATCTTTTATTCATCTGAGAGCACAGATTTGTGATAAAGAAGAAAAAAAAATCGCTATTGCCACATTTAACACTTGTACATTTTATTGAATTAAATCAGCCATTGTACAACATTGCAGCTATGTATTGTTAGTGTTGTATTTTTTTCCATTAACTAATACATGCCCTCATAGATATATTCAATTAGTGTTATCACCATGGGAACAAGATGCTGATTCATCAACTGAAAATTCACTTCTTCTCACAGTATTCAAGTTTTTGATAACACAGCAAAAATCAAAAATCAAAGGAAGGTGAATAACCATTATGTTGTTACACAGACATCATCTGCACTGCAAATTACACAACAGAAATGCTTGTCTTGGGCTCCAGGTGGAGGTTGTGACAAAAGGACCTTGGTGGGTATCACAAAGGTCCACATGGGCCTCTCTCCTTTCAGATGCCAAAGAGCACTCTATTTCCTATCCTGCCACAAAGTGCTAGCCTTTTCAGATCAGGAGATCTGACTTACGGGAAACCTCCCTCCCGGAATATTTTTTTCTCTTGGCAATGTTACTTGAAATTGTTTGTCGCATTGGTTTCTGACATGTGGAGCAATGAGTCATTTTTTGCACAACAGGAAAAGACCAGATAGAATTGGAAAAAGTTCAATCCCTGGAGGATAGACTTTTTATTTCATCTTCATTGAATATACTTTTCTTTAACAAATAACTGGTTCAAAATGTATACTGTTTATATGAATATATCTGTGAATATATAATATATATGTTAAAATGCTACACAGCTTTGACCACTAGAGGAAGAAGAAACAGGACGTGGAAATCATTCAGATTGCTCCAGTCCCTTCTTTGAAACAAACAAACAGAAAAGTGCACAAACGCACTTAAGAATTTCCAAATAAGTTGGATTTCAAATAAATAAACCAAAAATTTTAACCAAAACCAAACTTTCAAAGGATTTCTCAACTATATCTGCAAGCCGAAATACAGATCTCGCTGGAAGGTGAAAAGTTTTCACTCAGGGCAAAAAAGAATGAAAACCATTGCTGTGATCGGAAGAAGGGTTTATGTGGCTTTGATTTTTAAATGTCACATGCAGGTATTGGAGAAGACATAAAGCTTGGGGGGGGCAGTGAAAAACTAAAAAAAACAAAACAAAAAAAAAAACACTGACAGGGTAAAGGAATTTAACTTTTTTTTTTTTTTTTTTTTGTAGTGAGTAAATCTTGTTACCATTGAATTTATCTACAGTGCAGTGGCTGGAAGAAAGTACCACCAGTAAGACAGTGTGGTTTGCTAAAGCAGCAAGGGAAACTGGAAAAGTACAGTAGTTATAACTTTTAAAATACCCTGCCAACATGTCCAAAATCAGAAAGACCTGAAGATGCTAGAATGCCACAGGAAGTAGCTTTTTGCAGCTAAATACCTCATTGTCTCAATCTGTCTGCCTCCTGCTCCCTTTGCCCCTTCCCCAGACAGTCATAGATGATGGCTGGCGAGCACCAGCAGGAGCTTCATAGTGAGGCCAGTTCTGCAGGATTATTGACTCTTCTTTAAATAAGAGCAATTGGCTACTCTGGACGTCCTAAGGATGTGGTAGTTCTGTGGTGCTTCTTTCACAGTAGAACTGTGTTGTTTAATCATTTGATTGTGTTAGCAATATCTTTATTAACCATTGTTCAGCAATTTCTAGAGACTTTTCATTCCATGGTGCCCAGTGTAGATATGGTAGGCAGTGGTTTTGATTTTTAACACATTGTTCATCTGAGCATTTCAGCTATATACATTGTACATGGATATCCTGAGGAAGGAATCCTCTGGGCCGTCACTAAAAGAGATCTGCAGCTGAAGTTCTTCCAATCAATGCATTTCTATGGAGCTTGAGCAGAAGCAAAGAACAGCAGAGGTGGCTGGGTCCCAGGTTCCCACAGACACACCAAGGAGCAGATACAGCATCCACAACGAAGGGTGCTATCTTTGGTCACAAATTAGCTTATCATTAGAGAATGGGGAAAAAGAAAACCAAAAGAAAATGCTGTATATTTTCTAACAGTGGAAATGTCAGGGGATCCCATACACTGGGCCAGTGAGATCACTCCTCTAAGGAAACGGGAAGGTGCACACTGGCAACTGGAGTGGGGTGAGCAGCTCCTCATGTGGCCGCTCTCTTCAGGTCCTCCTGGCAGAAATGCTGAAGGAGTTTCTGGAGGTCATGCTGGAGATCATCCTGGCCCAGTGCTTCTGGCACATCCTCCAGGTGCTCCAGCTCAACACGTTTCCCACGCTGGTCCTTCACCACAGCCCTCTTCTGTGTCCTGGCTTTACTCATTGTTGTCCTGGAGGAGAGTGGACAGAGAGAATTATGCTTTCTTGACTGCTAAAAGGCAGCTTCTCAGGATGAGGTTAACTGTGACTCTAAAGTCCTTCTTGTCTTACTTCTAGATAGTCCCACCAAGCTAGCAGTATAACAGCTACGGCATCTCTCCAACTCTTGGTTACAACTACTATGACTGAAATAGCTTATGACACTTTGAGAGTGCATTGTGAAGCTGGGTGTGGTGGCACACGCTTGTACTGCCGGCACGCTGGGAGGCTGAGGCAGAAGGACTGCATATTTGAGTCCAACCTGGGAAATTTAGTGAATTAGCAATACTGTCTCAAAATAAGAAAGGCCTTGGGGGGCCAGGGATATAGCTCAGTAGAATAACCACTTTCTTGGCAAGTGCAGGGTCCTGAGTTCAATCCCCAGTACCCCCCCCCCAAAAAAAGGCCTGAGGATGTAACTCAATGCAAAGGTCCTGGTTCAATCTTTAATACTCTTCCCAAAAAATGTATGTTGGAATGAGGAACATTTTTTTAAAACCTTTAAGGAATGTTTCAAATAAATGAAACCATACTTTAATATGATTCTCTGAAAAAAAACCCATATAGCCGTTCATGTTTTGATTAAGTTGTATTGATCTAAAGACCCCAATTCATCCTGAGTAATTCCACAAGCCCCTTTCAACAGCAAAGAAAAACAGTTTTTCACATAATTTATTCAAAGCCACCTCAGCTGCCCACTTAATCCTTAGAGTCTTCTTCTGACCCAAACTTCCCAAGTGACGCTCTGAGAAAACTTCTGTAGGAGACACCATCTCTTAAAAGTGCAATATTATTCTGCCATAAACTGGGAAGTGATGATGGCTGAAAGTCTCCTAAAGCTTCATCTGGATAGAGAGGAGAAAGAGGAAACAGAAGAAAATCCCAGACAGAAAAATGTATCCTTTACATTCTCAGAGCTGTCCACACTTTACTCATTCAGGGTAACCTGCTTGTCTCTAATCAGACTGGTGGTTCCTTGAGAAAAGATGCTGTAACTTTATTTATTGATTGGTTTATTTTTTAGATAGAGCTGAACTCACTGTGTAGTCTAAGCTGACCCTAAACTTACGGTGATCTTCCTGCCTCAGCCTCTTGTGCACTGAGATTACCGGCATGTACCACCACATCTGGCAAGACACTCCCACTCACTGCTATATTTCACACTATTAATTCCCTGCACTCTTCTTTAAATATGATCATGCCCTAGTTTGCTCACTATTAGTTCTTCTCACCATGTACTTGTAAATATAATTATTCATGCCACAAACACTTGTGAAGGTGCTGCATTTGCCAAACACAGTTATTATAAAAAATAAGGAAATAATCTTATGAGAATTTAAGCAATATCACCCATATAAAAATAGCAGCATGCAGTGGAACCAAGAAGAGCCTATAAGCACAGGCCCTTCATCGTCCCTGAAACTGGGGTAGGACAGGACCAGTGGCTGGGGCTTCACCTGGCCTTTTTCTTATGGATTCCTAATGTCCAGAAGCTGGAAGTTCTGCCCACCCTCAACCTCTGAGCATTCACTGAGATCATCCCACGTTATAGAAAAAGGACTTGCTTCAGGCCGAATGCTCCCCACCTTGTTTCCTCCTCCCTTCTCTCCTGTTCTCTCACTCTTCTCTGAAATAACATGAATTGCTCTGTATTTGAAGGCAATTTAAATTTGTTCCTCTCAATGAAATGGTTAAATATGATTGCAGTGGAAAATCAGGCTACATTTTTCTACCTATGCAGCACCCACTACTTTTCCTCTTAAAAAGGCAGGTAGGTGTCTGACTATTTCTGCCAAGAATGAGGAGAAGCCTTATAGTAAGCACTGGCATTAGGAGGCTGGTCTGTATCGGAGGACATTTCTTGCATTTTCTGCAGGTGCAGCATGTGTGATTGAAAAGTAAAATATATATTTAAAATTTTAAAATATGTTAACAGTGTAACACATGTCTCCAATAAGCTCCCTCAGAATATCCCTCCTCACTGCAAGCACAGCCTGTTGTTTTGGCCAGCTTCTTGAGCAGCGCTGGCCCCCTTTCGTGAGTATCTTCAGTTGCACTGTCCTGGCTGCCTTGATGTCCCGAATTGGTTCTGAACATTTCCCTTTGATGAGCATTTTGACTTTGGAGAACAGCCTGACGTGGCACAATGCTAGATATGGTGAATAAGGTAAATGAGCGTGCACACTGTCATGTTTGCACAAGCCTGTTTCTGTTGGATGACAGAAACATTCAAGGTACTGGCAGCAGCATTCACAGTATTTTTGATCACACCTCATAAAGACACTCAGGAAACAGAACTTTCAGAACTGTTTCAGAAAGTGGCATGAAGGGCCAGCCAGATAGCTCAGTGGATTAAAGTGCCTGCAGGTAAGCGCAGGGGCTGGAGGTTTGATCCCCAGGCCTGCCGTGAATGCCCCGCCCCCAGGGCACGCTGAGACAGTGAGACTGGGCGTGGTGGTGCACACCTGTAATCCCAGCTCTTGGGAGGCTATAAACAGGCAGATCACAATGTGTCAGATCTAGCAGTGAGACCCTGAACATCCTGTAGACTCTTCGCTAAAATTAAAAAAAATAAAGAAGGAATAGAAAGTAGAATGAATGATGGAATAAGTGCATGTGAAGTGAGGGGCAGTATCTTGAAGGGAAATAACAGTTTTCCCAACTGTTATTATTGTTTTTTCCAACAATAATTTAAAAACTTTAGGGGCTGGCGAGATAGCTCAGCAGACTAAAGCACCTGCTTAGGCAAGCTTAGGCAAGCACAGGGACTGTTGCTCCATCCCTGGCACCACATGCCATCACAGCTCTGACCCCAGGATGGGCTGAGTGGGAGAGCCCAGGCGCAGTGGCATACACCTGCAATCCCAGTGCTGGGGAGGCTGAGAAAAGGAGGATCACTATGAGTATGAGCTGTGTAGTGAGACCCTGTAACAACCAAATACATTTTTTAAAAAAATCAAATATTCGCCATACATTTTGATCACCCCATGTAAGCAGACAAATGCTTATGAATGTGAAGAAATTTGGAACAGAATAGATTTGGAGGCCAATTAATGAAAAATTTGGATTATATATTATAGGATTATAATTCTATAATCTTATATCAGTACTCATAAAATGTTTTCAGCTTCTTGGTGAAAAGGCACAATAGGAATCCATGCTTAGAATAGATTTGGAGGCCAACTCATGCAAAATTTGGCTGTCATGGCATGTGGTGCCAGGGATCGAACAACAGTCCCTGCACTTGCCTAAGCAGACACTTTAGTCTGCTGAGCTACCTTGTCAGTCCCTAAATTTTTTAATTATTGTTGGAAAGACACATCACCACTATTTCCCCTTATTTTCTTTGGTAATACGTCTCAGTGTGGCACATCACAGAGTTCCAACACAGACCAGCTCTGGGGACTCAAATGGTCTCTCTTCCCAGCTTCAAATTCAACAAGTGTAACAAAGAATTTTACATTAATTGGCCTCCAAATCTATTCTACTCCAAATTTACCCTGTGATGTTAGGGCACACGGGGTAGTATAGTTTCATCTCAAAAACTAGAGACAAGATTTAAAGTTCAGAATCTAAGAAGCATTTTACACACAATTGATGTCGCATTTTTAAAGTTCGAAGACAGAAATCATGCTCTTAAATTCCTAGGTGCTGTTGTTTTTCACATTTGATTGGAGGGTGAAATTTTACTGTTCTAATTATGTTCCAAAGGCTTAAAATAACCTAAGCAATGCATAAATGGCAATCTTTTTCTTCTCAGTGAGGTGAAAACCACAACAGCATGAATTCCTATTGTGCCTTTTTGCCAAGAAGCCAAAAGCATTTCATGAGTGCTGATTCTTATAGGATTGCTCGTGCATCAGAGGGAAGCAGACCCTGGCCATGATCCCAGATGGCAGCTCACACCAACCACGGAGGAAGGGGGCCATTCAAAGCACCTTGCTGCTGCCCCTTGCTGTGTGGAGAAAAAGAGCTGCCTGCTGCTTCACACCCTTTCTTATTTTACTAAAGCCCCTAGCTTCATAATCCCTATGGACATCAAAACCATGCTCATGCTATATATCTCGCATGCAGACTCATAAAACAGCTTGTGAAAAAAAAGCATGTACCACACACAGGAATGCTAAGAGGGAGCTAAGGTAGGTCACCAAGTTAATTCACAAGCAACAGATTAGACTTTCGTTGCTGCCAACACAATGGCTCTCCAGCTGGTGGGCTTTCTCTATTCTCGTGACTTGTGGAGACCCAGGGATTCCGACTGTGTAAGCTGTTATTTTACTGCCACTGTGCCTTAGCATTCGAATTGCAGCCCCATAGGACACTGCAAATATGACACACCAACAAACTGGATGAATGCCTCATGGTACAGGACAACTTGCAGTTCTGGAGGAGTTTTACATGTGTCAGGGCTCTGTCTTTCTGTTCTTAGAATAGGAAACTGTTTATGGTGTTAGTTGGCAATACATCACCCCATGCTACCCCAAACCTTTTAATTATGGATCCATCCTCTTTCAGGATTTCCTTCTCTACTAAATTTGGGAGGTGGACTTTCATGTGGCTACCTGTGTAACTTAAAGCCTGAGGTAAGAAAAACAAAAAGACAACACTCATCACAATCCAAAGCAATCTCCCACTTTGTTAATTTAGATCCAGTCTGAAAAAGTATCTGTGAGAGGATAAATAAAAAGAACTCCCAGTAGCAAATGTGAGCTTAGAGTTTTATTAACAAGTCCCTTAGAATTTCCCATTTGCAAGGGAGATTTATTATATCACTTGACAAAGTTGCTAAATGACATCCATACCAACTGACTTAATTTCCTCAGCTGAAATTTCCTTCTTATGCCAGACTCTCAAATGTTAACTAGATTGACTGAGAGTAAGAACAGATCACATCCAGTGTGCAAATGGATTCACCTTTTAAACATTCAAGGCTGCTGGTTGTCAAGCATGAAGGACTAAAAGTATTAAATAAGATTTGCTTTTAATATCCAAGTACACTTATATACAATCTCAATATATGCTGTGAGTCTAGCAGAAGATACACCCGTAGCATTTGACTCTGGAATGTTTCAATGGCGAAAACTGTTTTGCGGCTGTTGACACCTGTCTGTTCCCCAAAACTCCTGGGACCACATGAGGTTCAGAATTTAGATTTTAGAAATAGGTTGGATATCCTAACATCCAGAGAAGGTGGAAACCACAGCCTGTAATCAAACTCAGTTCAAATCAGACAGCAAAAACATATGTAATTTCACTCCAAGTAAGACAAGACTCCATACCAGTTTATGTCAAGCCAAATCAGACTAGAAAATTTGTTTTGGTTTTTACAATTTTAAAATTTTGGAGCCATAGTAAGGGTCTATAAATATGCTATTATAAACCTATACCTGAATTGTTGGGAACAAGAACTTAATAACTATACATCATTTAAAATACACAAATATAAAAAATAGGAATTTTAAAACTGTCTATCATGGTAATATTGATAGAATCAGCCAGACAGGATAATTTCTACCATCTTTACCTTTTCCCATATTAATTGGGAGTACAGAATACCTCTGGGACTTTGAAATAAGATGTAAGATCATGCCCTGACTCCAGAGATTTGGACATTAAGTCAGCAGAAGTGAATCCTGAGGGTGTAGATATTTAAAACCACTTAGGGGGACATGAATGAACTTTGTAGGTTGAGGAAACATTATTTTACAATATACATTATTCATATAGGAAATCTGCTCTCTTGAATTATTATATACACTTCTACAAATTTGCATATGAAATGACACAATGGCAGACAATTTTCAAACTCAAAAACACACATAAAATACAAGTCAAAAAGCAAAAAAGACAAAATGATGCTTCTCTACCTCTTCAAAGTCATCTTTGGCTGAAGGAAGGTCAGTGGCTAAGCTAGAGTCCCCCAGCTGCTTCTCCATCCTCTCTCCACGGACCATAGTGGTTTTAACAACTTTGCTGACTCTACGGCCTTCTACTGGTTCAGCCTGAAATTGTGAGGTGCTGGACAGAATGCTGGGTTCAGACAGGGTTACCTAACAGGTGAAGGACACACAATGTAGTTTCTGATGGCCACATGTAACAGATATGAAACTTTTCTATGCTAAAAAACAAAACAATTAAAATATGCTCTAGCAGACCTAAATGACAATATTTTGGAGCAGCAAAGCAGAGTTACAGCAAAATACAAGCAATCAATTAGTGGTATCTATTTACCACTATCTCTGCCACACCTAATCAACCAGTGAGTCACTGGGATAAAAATAATCAGCCATTTTGTAAAAACTGACAGCCCTAGCGCAGTGCAGATGCAGTAATCTGTGGCTGGACTCTTTCCCCATGTGTACATGGTTTTATTTGTAGTATGAAGGTAAAGTTTACCCCAAAGGAGGAACTCAGAAAACTACAAAAAAATGCAGATTTTTTAGAAATAGATTTCTGAAGGATCTTATGTCTTCAAAAACAAAATTTTGAGGCTATAAGTGAATACAAAGTGGTGAGAATTTCTCAAATGATAATTTTAAAAAGCAAGCCTGTTCCTGAAACTGGGAAATAAAATAGAAAGAAATAAAGCTATGAATCAAAGAGTTTCTGGGTCCTGATGTTAGTGACCGCCAAAGGCTGTGGTCTGATAACAGGCATTGCCATAATGACTTCGGAAGGCCAGCGTGCCAACCAGGCACAGGCACCCAAATCTCCTCCTAAAATACACCCACCCAGCAAGTGGGATTTCATTCATTGAAAGTTTGGCTTTTGGATTTTTGCTGCGGTCAACTATGAGTTAAACAGAAAATGGTAATGAGAATGAGCAAACAATGAGAATAATGGCTTTGATGCTTCCTGTTGGTTATTTTCAAATTAAATAAAATCATGAAAAGACAAACAAATGGGTAACTATGAACAGACTGTGAGGTCTAAGTGAACAGAGGTCTCTTCCAACTTGCTAAGTTCTCTACTGCTGTCTATGAAATAAGACTTGGTATTCGGGCAGCCTCACCTCCGATTGGTTGGTGTCACTCTTCAATACAATGCGCTTTATCACTTTGGAATATCCATCTCCCTCCTCGATGGTCACAGGCTCCTGTGGTGTCCCTTGCATCAGAATCTCTTCTTTCTCCACGCCCTCTGAGGACACATACCGCCTAATGATTTTCCTAGTAACCTGAAACACATTTCATTTATGTATTATGTTGTTGAGTCACAATATGACAATGATTCATTTTAAACACAAAGCTTGAAAGCAGCCATGAAAAGAGACACCAGACAGTACCTTCTTCACCACAGTGTGTCCGTGCTCATCCACATACTCTTCTTCCGTGACACTTTCTGGGGGTATCTCAGGCATGTCATCTCCCTAGACAGTTGGGACAAAAGAGTCACATCAGGACTTGGCACCAACTCTAGGCACTAGTTCCAAGTGTTTATCATGTGAGGAATGTTAGAAAAACCAAAGGCGACCTGGAGAAGCACAGTTGAGATGCAAAATCCTGTCAAATATTTTAATTTAAAAAAAGCAAGTTGGTGGTAACATGCTTAGCAGAAGGTGGCCAAAGTTAGGGAAAACTTAAACCAACAAACAAGAAAAACAGATAAGCAAAGGTGAGTTAGGTGAAACTGGTGAACCCATCCTGTTCTCCCTTATTGGTTCTGTCTTGGTTGTAGGTTGCAAATGCCATTACCATTATGTCTTTTTACAAATATAAGAGGAAAGTTAAGGGTTCTACTTCCTCATGGCCATGCACTGCCTCAGGAGCATGCCAAGCCCTTACTGCCCCCAGTCAGTCACGGTCTAAAGGTGAGAGGGAAGAGCTGTCCCTGGCGTGCAGTAATTCAGCAGCTGGTACCTGGATGATCACTCTCCGGCGGACAACCCTGGTGGTTACCATGGCCTCCTCATCAGAGCTGGCCTCCAGCTCCCCTAATTCCTCTGTTAGCTCCTGGGGAAGCATGGAAGCATGGTTCTGTTTAACGCACTAAGGAAGAACTTTACTACTGCTTCTAGTTTTAACATACATTGTATTCTCAAAGTTATATTCATGGAGACTTTGGAGGAAACATCAGTGGGTCTGAAACTTCAATAAGAATTCAGTTGTTTGGTTCAATGAATTAAATAAATTATAATTCCAAAAGATGTGGAAAAACCTGTCAAAATTCATACAAAGAAATGTCCTGTCCATACAAACTCTTGGTACTCACTCAAACTGCTAAAAGATAACAATGCAAACACAGCAAAATGTGCAGCCATGGGCTGTTAACATTGTTTAGGCTTGAATTTCTAATACATCTGCATAGGAATATCTCATACCTGTCACAAGAAATCAAAATTTCCTGTAGATATTTCACAGTTAGTAGTACATCTCCCTAGCATCAAAAAAGGCAGACTATGAATAATAGCCTGATTTTTCAGAGAAGTTAAAATGTGAAAACAATCAGATTTGATAGACTTGGCCCAAATCCAGACATGAGGCCAAGAACACAATTTTATTTTGTTTTTATTTTTTTAAGAACACAATTGTAGATTATACCATGTCGTAGGAGTCACATATATAGAACCACCTTCTCTTCATGGAATCATATTTTTTACAAAGAGAAAGGACAAGTAAATTTACCTAACATATTTTATTTATTTATTTATTTATTTATTTATTTATTGGTGGAACCGGGGATTGAACTCAGGCCCTTGCACTTGCCAGGCAAGCACTTATTCTACTGAGCTATCTCCCCGGTCCCCCTAACATTTTAAAATACCCAATTTATATGTAGTTCTACATTCTTCTCTGTTAAAGAAAAATATCTAACTGTAAACCGAATTACACTTTAAATCAGGAACTTACTGCCTAGAAACAGGGTCAGCAAGAAGAGTAACTGAAATTGGATACCTCAGTTAAGGTCACAAGAAGTGAAGGGTCAAAATGTGGAGCTTATGAGAGATAATTAGAAGTTCGTCAAGAGTAAGTAGAAGAGGCCTTTACTAAATATGTAGAAAGGAGAATGAGTTATCAATTCTTATTTATAAGAAGGGATCATATAAATTATCCAGATGCTAATTTTAAGACTATATTTTACTTAGTCTGTGTATTCTTGGGCTAAATTTGGTAGCTTTTAAGTCCAGATAGCAAGTATGAATCATTTTTACTAGGATTCATTTAAACCAAGAACTTGAGATGAATAATTATGTGGAAAGACAAACTCAGAATAAAAATTCATTCATTGGATGAATCACTCTTTAAGTTAACTTCCAAAATGAGGGCAGTTCTCAGCCTGAATTCTTCCTAACTCGGCTGTGATTGTAGACAAATCCTGTAGCAGATGTTATCCTCACAGTGATAGAAACAAATATAGATCTTAACTCTAAGGATACGTTGTATTATTTCTGTTCCCACAAGATTCTCATTCTTTCACGTAACAAATCTATTACTACTAAAACTTGTATTGGACGTTTTTATAAACATTTTTAAACATAAAATGCTTCTGAACTCTTTTTAAAAAGGAAATAATGCCTATTTTAATTTATAGAAAGTCTAATTCAAACTGATTTTCATCTACCTTTGTATATGAAAATAATCTGGGGAACGTTTAAAGTGCTGAGTCTTGTGTCCTCTCTACCCTTTGGATTTTCAAATTTTGAAGAAGGAACAAGCTCCTCAGTTAAGACTGATGGTATGTGAACTACTTGGACCAAGTGATAGTTTAAATACATTTCTTAAGACGGTCCAACCTCTCTCCACGCCTTTAAAACGCTCTTAGTGACAGGCTGTAATGCAGTCTCATATCACTGTCAGGCAATTGGTCATCTCAAAATAGCAATAAGATTATGTAGTGTTCCTTTTATAATTTATTGCTAAATAAATATGAAGAAATTAATTTAGAAATTGTTCTTCCTCCAGGGAGGAAGGTTTGGTGGGGAATGAGCCCCATCTGAGAGCCACTGCTTGTGAGCTCCTCAGAAGACAGTCCAGAGATCTACGAGGTGGATGTTTACGTTTAAAATCATTTACTCTAGCGAAAGACACATTGTCTTTGGTCACCCTTAAAAATCCCTTTGAACACTTATCCAGTCATTCTTGCCACTTACTAAAGCAGGCTTGCAAGTCCTTTTGCATAACTGTCATTAGTTGTACTGTTGAGGCTACCTTACTTTCCTGACTTGATTCAGAATAATGACCTTTCAGGGTTATTTTAATTTTGAAGGAGAGTCCCAGTCACATAGTGAAAGATCCATTGAGTAAAGTCAGTGAAAACAGATAATAGTTTTGGTGTTTTTTTTTTTTTTTTTTTTTTTTTTTTACAAGCCTGACTTTCCACTGAATGGTACTCAGCCATGGCCTTCTCCATAGCTTCAATTCATGTAAAGACACTCACAAAAGAGCACGTCCAGAACTGCTTCAGAAAGTGACAAGAACAAGGTAAATGTCAAAGACAGAGTGAATAAATTTGAAGTGGATTAATCTAACATGTCTTTTTTCATAATAAATTTTTAAAAATCCAAAAATTAGCTATATTTTTATCACACTATATATGGCGATCCCAGCTCAGATGTGCCATGGCAACAGACCTGAGCCTGCTCATCCCTATCACTAGCCCTCATACTTAGGATTACTAATTCACCAAGAGTATTTTTTGTATACCACATGTACATTTCTCTTAGCAGAAAGACTCTTGGTGATAAAAGTAGGGCTCCTGGTTCAGTAGCCAGGATCGGGACTGTGTGCCATTCCTTCTAGATTCATTCGCTCTCTAATTTGGAAAGAGTTGAAGATTTCTTAGTGACTAGGTTCACTAATCTATTAGGCAACTTTTTCTTTTTAAAAAGAACATAAACAATTAGAGAAATGGACACTAAAAGAAGGTTTGTAGCTTTGCTAAATGTGGGCAGGAAACGAAAGGCAGGAAAATCTCACCTTTTCTAAAGCCGCATCTCCGTCGAGTCCCTCAAAGGTATGCGGCTGGTCCTGCCCTGACTCCACAATCATGAGGCTGGTTTTCTGAGGGGAGCTCGTCTCCCTGGGCTCGGGGGGCTCTTCAGGTTCCTGCACAATGGGGGAGCCTTCCCGTTCGCTGGACGTTGGGGTCCGGAGGTCCAGTCTGTCCTCCTCGGAAGGGGTCCTGATCTCTTCGGGGGTCTTGTTAGGAGAGCTTGGTGCTGCTGTGGTCCCCTGAGCCTCTGTTCTTTCTGTACCTGGGGTTGTCACACTAATACAGAAGAGCCAAGTTACACCTCACGGGAATTTGCATTTCTCCTGTTCTAGCAGGAAACTGGAAGGGAAGAGGATGCTCATCTTCACAGTTCATGATATTCATAGTTCAAATTAGCCAGCGGAGAAACTGGAAAAACATAGCATCCTGCTCTAGAGTGCTCCGTAGCTATAGCTCATTGGTGGGGCACTGCATTAACAGCAATGACTTCTAAAGATGGAAATTATCCTAAAATGGATAGTTTCCTACAAAAACCTATACAGGGGCTGGTGAGATGGCTCAGTGGTCTAAAGCACCTACTTAGGACAAGCTTAGCAAAGCACAAGGACCATGGTTCAATCCCCCAGCACCACATGCCAGCCAGCCCCGCCCCCTGGTGGGCTGAGCTGGCCACACACACACA